TATTAAAACCGGTATTATTAATAAAAAATTTACTAGTTATATTTTTACTTACCTCAGTTGTCATATTGACTTGTTAACAAATAATATATGAAATCCAATAAATATTGTTCTGAAATGAGTAGATATAATTTATTTTATTACATAGAGAGTAGGAGTAGATAGAAACAAAAAAACGTGCAACTAAAAAAAAGTACATATTAAATTCTATGTTACATTTTACATATAATAGGCTCGTATGGCATTATATAATTAGAGAAGCAAAAAATATAATTAAATTGAAAGTATTTTTGAAATAATATTAATAACTTGCGTTTTGTTTATTAAAGTATGTTCTTAAAAAACATAAACATTCAATCGTTTCATCATCAAGCGAGGACCGAATTTTCATACAAATATAACCAGCCGCCGAAAAAGCTCTTTCTGATTCTACACTTGTCGGCACTATTATCATTGAGAAACCATACACACATTTTGTAAATACGTTCATTTTGTTCCTGTTTTTTCAAAAAAAGTAATTTCATCTTTTGTTTATTATAATTGCCGACACCGCCGCTTCTCGATGGTGCCTTATTCGGCTCGGTATAGGTGTAATAAATGTGCCTGATATAGATTTTAATACAATGAAANTATTGTGCATAAATTCAATTTTTATCAACTAATGTAATACCAAAATACCGGTATTTTTACATAAATACCGGTTTTTAATAACGGACAAAAATCGTCCGGGATTCCGGTATTCCGATATTCGGGATCCCGGAATCCCGGTATTGTAAGCCCTAATAGGTTCCTAAAAATGCTCTAAAAAGGCGAAATATACAGGAAATATAGAGAGAATGAACAGCATAGTGTTTAACTCAAAATTATGTTGTTATTGTCTAGAAAAAACTTGAACATTGAAATGCTTTCGAATATCTGTAGGTACGTTGATACGTAAACAGTAAACAGTAATAAGTACCTACTGTGAAAACAGTTTTAATGTTTTTCATTGATTTCCTGGAATTTCGTTTCTGTTTTTACCTCTTGTCCATCCTCTCATAATTTTCTTGTATACATTATACAAGGTTAATTGTAATCTATAGTGGCTTTTTATAGAACTTTTTTTATAGCAGCGAGAAACAGATAGATTTTGCCGAGCAGCTGGAGAGTGTGGCCTATTGCCTTTGTGGTGACGATGCCATAAAATTGCCGCAGTTCATTCAGATATTTAATGCGAAGGGTGTAAGTAAATTGCTGTTTTAACATATATATATAAACACTACTGGCATACATTTTACTACAATGGAATGTGCTGGGCACAACTTGCTGAAGTATAAAATGTACATACACAGAATTTTGTATACATTTTTAAAAACTTTTTATAGATCATTGACAAACTTTATAGACTGATCGATCAAGAGAATAGCGGATCTTTGACATCTGAACAAATTATGGAGTTCATAGCTGCAGTTACCAACATACGGTAAGCTCTTTTGTGTGGTGTTTATATTTCAAATAATTTCGCTTGTTTTTTACAAAGGCCAAGAACTGGTTTTGACAAAAGTAGCTTGGAATGGCTAGAGCAACTTTTCAGGCAAACCGTAGGGAACGATAAGGAAATTAAAAGAGAGGAATTTACAAAAATTGTAGTATCAAAAAATGTGAGTGCCTACATACTACTGCATTATCAAACAATAACTCCTAATTCCAATTTTTTAGCCCTTCTTTACCGATAGAGTATTTGAAATATTTGATAAGGATAATTCTGGATCCATATCCCTACAAGAATTTTTGGATGCAATGCACCAGTTTGCAGGGCAATCACCAGAAGATAAAATACGATTTCTTTTCAAAGTTTACGATCTTGACGGTAGGATTTAAAAAAAGAAACATCTAAAAAAAAAAGAGAAAAATCTTTTACCACAACTGAAAGATTTTTTTTTTGAATTCATCAGCGAATGTGAAATAGTTATCCTACTATCGCTTATTATTTTTGAATAAATATTTCATAACAGAAAAACACAACAAATTATTTCTAATTTTAATCTAATTTATTTCTAAAACTTGTTATTTTTAATATATTTATGAAGTCAAAGATAGTGCATTGTTTTTATAAATAATTAAAATCAATTATTCGACCTCTTTTTGGGGGAAGAAGAATTCAATAAATTTAAATAATTTTGGCAGGGGTGGGAGTGGGGATACTGAAATAAAATATTAAACTAACGATTTACTTAGATAATTAGAAATTTTACAAAAATAGGTACTTACTACAATATTACAAAAAGAATAATCAATATAATCATACTTGATTGAACTGTTTAAATGTGTTTGGTCGTATCAAATTAAACCTTTTTTATTTACTTTATTCTTTTTTAAGGTTTCTAATAAATTGAGTTTTCTTAAAATTCTCTATATGTAGGTTTAATTATTATTATTGTTTTCGTAACTTACCTATTTGTGCTCTTTAATTCGAATGTGGAATGACCTGTCTGTTTGCCTATACGTGACTTACTGCAGTCACCACAGTTCAATAAATTTAATCGGGATTTTTTATCTTTGAATGTTTCAAGTCTGTTTAGTCGTTTCAAGTTAGGCCTTTTCTATTTAATTTTTTTATTCCTAAGGTTTCCATTGACTTAAGTTTTTTATCTTTATTTTCAATACAAAGAATTAAATGTGTTTTTTTTAATATCCTAAACGTAGGGAAAATTATTGTTATTGCTTTTGTAATCTATTTTTGCCCTTTTAATTCAATCGTGGAATGACTTGCCTGTCTGGCCTATACATCATTTACTATAAAATCATAATTCAGTCAGGATTGGTAAGATCTTTGTTATTTTTGATAAGGTTATCTAATCAATTTCTTAGGCGATGGACTGATTCAAATAAAGGAACTGCAGCATGTCATAAGGGCTTGTATGGAAGAAAATGGAATGCAGTTTAGCGAAGAGCAAGTGGACGAGTTAACCATGGCCATGTTTGAAGATGCTGATACTGAAAATAGGGGTGCCATCACTTACGAAGCCCTTAAAGCCCAACTTGAAAAACACGGTGGTCTTTTGGAGAATTTATCGATAAGGTAATCAATAACAATAAATACTTGTATAACACGCACGCGGCATTTTATTTATGTTTAAATTTAAGAACAATTAACAAAAACACTGTTAAAGAAGTAAATTAAACAAGATAATTACTTTTAATAAGATTGATGATTCTTTATTATTTTCTGTTTTATGAGATTTTTATTGATCTTTTGCAATGGAAAAAGACTTAACTTTTCTTTTCTTATAAAAATAAAATGAAGACTATTTTTTAAATTGAATAAGGCTTTTTCTTTTTTCTTTAAAAAAGTGTCGACTGCTTTTGCTTTTTTTTGTGTCGATAGTAAAGGTTGCTTATAAAAGTTATGGTTGTAATAAAAGTAATGTTTATTGTTTGTTACTTTTAGTATAGACAGATGGCTGGTTCCACCGAAACCAGTAAATCAAAAGACTTCATTACTTCAGAAAATTTGGGCATTACGACCTTATCAACTATCTGTACCGTACGTTAGGAATAATTATGTCTACCTGATATTTTTATTGGGATTTTTTGTTTTGAATATCGCTTTATTTGTATCTCGCGCATTCCAGTATAGATATTCTAACTGGTATACAATATTTGCCAGGGCCTGTGGTGAGCTATATACAAATTCACAACTAAAATGTAATAATTATTTATTAGTCCATTCGTTTCAGGACAATGTTTAAATTTCACTTGCATGTTTATACTAGTTCTTATGTTGAGGCAAAGTATTACATTTTTGCGGACCAGAGGCTTCGGCGCTTTTTTACCATTGGACCAACATATTTACTTTCACAAACTGACAGGGTGGCTTATTTTTGCTTACAGTTTTATCCATACTGTTATGCATTGTCTCAATTTTAGTAAGTAATTTTTGGAATACTATTTTTTGAATACAACCAAGAAAACGTGTTTCTTTTAGGTTTGGTTGTTGTACATAGTCCGGAAATAAATCCCAAAAATTTCACGGTTGCTGAATGGCTTTTTACAAGTCGGCCAGGACTTTTTGGACTCATTGGGGGTTGGGCAAATCCCACAGGAGTTTTACTATTTATCATTCTGTTAATTATGTTCATCTGTTCCCAAGCATTTGTTCGTAGGGGTGGTTGTTTCGAGGTAATATAATATTTACTACCTTATCCGACTTTCTAAAATCTAAAATTATAGATCTTCTATTGGACCCATTTGCTATATGTCCCTTTCTGGATATTCTTGATTCTTCATGGCCCTAACTTTTGGAAATGGTTTGCAGCTCCGGGTGTAATGTACCTTGCAGAGCGTATAGTGCGGTTGTGCTGGATGAAAAGCAAAAGGGGAAAAACTTATATTAGTTCGGGAATTCTTTTGCCCTCTAAAGTTACGCATCTTGTTATAAAAAGACCGCTGAATTTTGATTTTCATCCTGGTGACTACGTTTTCGTAAATATTCCGGCTATTGCGAAATATGAGTGGCACCCTTTCACCATAAGCAGTGCTCCAGAACAAGAAGGTAAAATTTTCACTAATTATCATAATAACTTAATCACTTCTGAAAGAAACAAGGAAACAAGAAACAAAAAATTAAATGCTACTAAAGTTATCTCATGTTTATTACTTTTGTTTAAACGGGAGAATGTGTGAATGTTATGAAATAAAACAAAAAGAATTGAAAATAGAGACATTTCAGAGGTATTTATTAGAATTTTTGAGTCACAACAGCTTTTGTTTTTCACCCGACTACGGCAAAGTCAAAAGGAAAGGTAATGATTTTAGTCACGGTTAGGTGTGGACGTTTTGAAACGGCCATGGTTAGCTACTTCCACTGTAGCTCCTAAACTACCCAGTTCGTTTTGATGAATGAGGTGATTAATTAATTTGTCAATGTGGTCCGGGTAACAAGAGTTATATTTTATACGAATTAAATTACTATGACGGATGCCACATCCAAAGAAAGGGGTAGTATGGTAAATGTTTTTTGCTATCATACCGAGTCGTATATCAAGTAAAAGAGGAGAAACTTCTGAGTTTATAAATATGGATATAGTAAAATTTTAAAATCTATTAATCAACAGAAAGCAATTTTACTATATTTAAACATTTACAGAGATTATTATTGAGTTGTTTCTGTTTCTTATAGACAGACATTAAAGGGGGGTTACTTTATCTTATTCTATTCNTTATAAACAAATGTTTAACTACTTAAACTTAAAGAATTCCGACGTCCGATAAAGGGCGTTAAATAAAATATTAATAGAAGTATAAGATAACTATTATCTTGCAGAACGTTTTTTGCTGTCATACCGAGTCGTATATCAAGTAAAAGAGGAGAAACTTCTGAGTTTATAAATATGGATATAGTAAAATTTTAAAATCTATTAATCAACAGAAAGCAATTTTACTATATTTAAACATTTACAGAGATTATTATTGAGTTGTTTCTGTTTCTTATAGACAGACATTAAAGGGGGGTTACTTTATCTTATTCTATTCCGTCTACTGAACAATTGTTTTATCTTAATCTGGATTGTTTAATTATTATGTATCTATTATTCACGCTATTATTATAAATATCACTGATATTTTCGTTGTCGCATCAAAGGTTAAAACTAGGGATGGGCCGGGTACCCGGTTTGGCGATCCAGCGGATTTAGTACTTTTTGTAGGATCTGGTCGACTTTTTTAATTTAATGTGGCTTGGAACGTTGGTGAGGGTGACATATAATGGTAAGCCTGCCCTAACGAAAAGGTGGACCATTAACTCAGCAAAATCACTATGCGGTGAATCTCTAGTTAAAACGGAAAAGTTTAAAATAAAATAAAAAGTTTTAAAAACTATAATCTTACTATCGAGTAAGAGAGTAAATTAAGTCTTTTGATATGTCAAATATATTATTGTTTATTTAGTTCTATTGAGGTCTTCTGGCAGTTTCACATTAATAATAGAGTATTTAACATACCAAAAGAATTAACTTCAAACAATCAGCAGCTAACTTGTTTCTTACTTTTTGGTTTAATTTATTTATCATGTCCCTAGTTTCTAAACTTTCTCTTTTTTTACGTAACTGGGGTACTGCTATTTACACTATTTATTTTATAATTCAGTCAGGATTGGTAAGATCTTTGTTATTTTTGATAAGGTTATCTAATCAATTTCTTAGGCGATGGACTGATTCAAATAAAGGAACTGCAGCATGTCATAAGGGCTTGTATGGAAGAAAATGGAATGCAGTTTAGCGAAGAGCAAGTGGACGAGTTAACCATGGCCATGTTTGAAGATGCTGATACTGAAAATAGGGGTGCCATCACTTACGAAGCCCTTAAAGCCCAACTTGAAAAACACGGTGGTCTTTTGGAGAATTTATCGATAAGGTAATCAATAACAATAAATACTTGTATAACACGCACGGTGCATTCTATTTATGTTTAAATTTAAGAACAATTAACAAAAACACTGTTAAAGAAGTAAATTAAACAAGATAATTACTTTTAATAAGATTGATGATTCTTTATTATTTTCTGTTTTATGAGATTTTTATTGATCTTTTGCAATGGAAAAAGACTTAACTTTTCTTTTCTTATAAAAATAAAATGAAGACTATTTTTTAAATTGAATAAGGCTTTTTCTTTTTTCTTTAAAAAAGTGTCGACTGCTTTTGCTTTTTTTTGTGTCGATAGTAAAGGTTGCTTATAAAAGTTATGGTTGTAATAAAAGTAATGTTTATTGTTTGTTACTTTTAGTATAGACAGATGGCTGGTTCCACCGAAACCAGTAAATCAAAAGACTTCATTACTTCAGAAAATTTGGGCATTACGACCTTATCAACTATCTGTACCGTACGTTAGGAATAATTATGTCTACCTGATATTTTTATTGGGATTTTTTGTTTTGAATATCGCTTTATTTGTATCTCGCGCATTCCAGTATAGATATTCTAACTGGTATACAATATTTGCCAGGGCCTGTGGTGAGCTATATACAAATTCACAACTAAAATGTAATAATTATTTATTAGTCCATTCGTTTCAGGACAATGTTTAAATTTCACTTGCATGTTTATACTAGTTCTTATGTTGAGGCAAAGTATTACATTTTTGCGGACCAGAGGCTTCGGCGCTTTTTTACCATTGGACCAACATATTTACTTTCACAAACTGACAGGGTGGCTTATTTTTGCTTACAGTTTTATCCATACTGTTATGCATTGTCTCAATTTTAGTAAGTAATTTTTGGAATACTATTTTTTGAATACAACCAAGAAAACGTGTTTCTTTTAGGTTTGGTTGTTGTACATAGTCCGGAAATAAATCCCAAAAATTTCACGGTTGCTGAATGGCTTTTTACAAGTCGGCCAGGACTTTTTGGACTCATTGGGGGTTGGGCAAATCCCACAGGAGTTTTACTATTTATCATTCTGTTAATTATGTTCATCTGTTCCCAAGCATTTGTTCGTAGGGGTGGTTGTTTCGAGGTAATATAATATTTACTACCTTATCCGACTTTCTAAAATCTAAAATTATAGATCTTCTATTGGACCCATTTGCTATATGTCCCTTTCTGGATATTCTTGATTCTTCATGGCCCTAACTTTTGGAAATGGTTTGCAGCTCCGGGTGTAATGTACCTTGCAGAGCGTATAGTGCGGTTGTGCTGGATGAAAAGCAAAAGGGGAAAAACTTATATTAGTTCGGGAATTCTTTTGCCCTCTAAAGTTACGCATCTTGTTATAAAAAGACCGCTGAATTTTGATTTTCATCCTGGTGACTACGTTTTCGTAAATATTCCGGCTATTGCGAAATATGAGTGGCACCCTTTCACCATAAGCAGTGCTCCAGAACAAGAAGGTAAAATTTTCACTAATTATCATAATAACTTAATCACTTCTGAAAGAAACAAGGAAACAAGAAACAAAAAATTAAATGCTACTAAAGTTATCTCATGTTTATTACTTTTGTTTAAACGGGAGAATGTGTGAATGTTATGAAATAAAACAAAAAGAATTGAAAATAGAGACATTTCAGAGGTATTTATTAGAATTTTTGAGTCACAACAGCTTTTGTTTTTCACCCGACTACGGCAAAGTCAAAAGGAAAGGTAATGATTTTAGTCACGGTTAGGTGTGGACGTTTTGAAACGGCCATGGTTAGCTACTTCCACTGTAGCTCCTAAACTACCCAGTTCGTTTTGATGAATGAGGTGATTAATTAATTTGTCAATGTGGTCCGGGTAACAAGAGTTATATTTTATACGAATTAAATTACTATGACGGATGCCACATCCAAAGAAAGGGGTAGTATGGTAAATGTTTTTTGCTATCATACCGAGTCGTATATCAAGTAAAAGAGGAGAAACTTCTGAGTTTATAAATATGGATATAGTAAAATTTTAAAATCTATTAATCAACAGAAAGCAATTTTACTATATTTAAACATTTACAGAGATTATTATTGAGTTGTTTCTGTTTCTTATAGACAGACATTAAAGGGGGGTTACTTTATCTTATTCTATTCCGTCTACTGAACAATTGTTTTATCTTAATCTGGATTGTTTAATTATTATGTATCTATTATTCACGCTATTATTATAAATATCACTGATATTTTCGTTGTCGCATCAAAGGTTAAAACTAGGGATGGGCCGGGTACCCGGTTTGGCGATCCAGCGGATTTAGTACTTTTTGTAGGATCTGGTCGACTTTTTTAATTTAATGTGGCTTGGAACGTTGGTGAGGGTGACATATAATGGTAAGCCTGCCCTAACGAAAAGGTGGACCATTAACTCAGCAAAATCACTATGCGGTGAATCTCTAGTTAAAACGGAAAAGTTTAAAATAAAATAAAAAGTTTTAAAAACTATAATCTTACTATCGAGTAAGAGAGTAAATTAAGTCTTTTGATATGTCAAATATATTATTGTTTATTTAGTTCTATTGAGGTCTTCTGGCAGTTTCACATTAATAATAGAGTATTTAACATACCAAAAGAATTAACTTCAAACAATCAGCAGCTAACTTGTTTCTTACTTTTTGGTTTAATTTATTTATCATGTCCCTAGTTTCTAAACTTTCTCTTTTTTTACGTAACTGGGGTACTGCTATTTACACTATTTATTTTATGAATGTTTATATAGATTATATGTGGTTACACATTCGGGGAGTTGGTGAATGGACGAATAGGCTATACGAATATTTTGAAAGGGAACAGGAGAGGCTTCATAATGGGGAAGTGCAGCCTGTCACATGTTCAAACGATAAAAGGCTTTCGAATGGAAGTATAGCGTCAAATAATAATCAAAATCCGATAAAAAAAATCCAAGCAACTATTACAAGAACATTTTCTAATCGTGATCCTAACAAAAAGGTTGTCGCTCCGCAACTGATTAGTTTTAGAAACGAAAAAATTAATTGTGAAGAAAATCCTGTTTCGTGTTCGGATGGAGATTTAAATGACACTGCTTCATGCAGTAAAGGTAATCAGAAGGCAGAAGTTTCAATTCAAGTAAAATAAAAGAATTAATTAATCGGACTTCGCCTAATAAGAATATACATATTTCAATGTGTTGTTAGATTTGGTGCCGTATCCCCTTTCGCCTCCCACAACTGAAAAAGAAAAGAGATTGCACAGAATAATCTTTATGGGTAGTAGAACTCTAGAAAAATCGTTGTCAATGCCTGACATGCAAACAAAACTAAAGAAAAAGGAAAGACTTTTAGCGTGAGTTATATTTTTGCGACTTCTACATTACAAAAAAAATTTCTTAACAAAAATCTGTTTTGTTAGATTAAGAGAATATATGAGATCTGAATCGGAAAAAAGTTTCAACGAATGTCAAATGAGAAGGGCTAGACTCAGGTCATTAGGGGTGGCTTATTTAAGTCCGCAAAATAAATCCTTAGCCCAGAGCTTCAGATACATGAGAAATAAGCCAACAATTATCGCTTTTAAAACCCCAAGTTTGGAAAATTGCGAAGCAAAAGATTCCAGCTATTCCTTAGGATCTATCAGTAGTAAGTTGTAAACATATGTATTGATAGGTAATATAATAAGACTCGGAATTGTATTCGAATTATTCGAATATCCTTTACTCAAATACTTTAAAAAAATATTTAACATTTAAATTTCAAAATATTTGAATATCTATTCAAAATTTCAAATACATACACTATGTCTGATCAGTATTCCGAAATATTTGAAGGGTAAGATCTGGAAGCACTGTAGAGTGCATCTCGCCATAGTACCACAACGTAAGGGATGTAAAAAGTAAGCCCAAAAAGTACCCTAGTTAACGAGCCATCATGATTGAGAGCAGTTACCGCGTTTTCATATCGGTTTTCGACGAAAAACACATACCTATTCGTGACCTTCGCAAACAACTGAACGGTAGACAAGTCACTTGTACGTAATGATTAGTAATAATCTGCACTCGTTAGCGTTCGATTGGCAAAGTTTTACCACCAAATACAAAAATGAGGTGAATGCGGAAATATCAAGCGAAAACCAATGCATTCACATGCAAAATATGCGGACATGGTGGTCACATATAAACGGCACAATGGGAATGCATCGGCGGTTACGCGAATACCCGTCATCGTCATTGCCGGAGCAGTTGGGACTTTAGGTAAGGTCACTACCCCCATGCTTATGTATATCACTGAGTGGTGCGAGATAGCTCATTCTTCCTCTTTTTCATGTACTTTCTTTTCCCTTAATTCTTCAGGAGTACTTATCAGACATAGTGTATATCGAAATCTAAATATCTGGAAACCCAAACAATTATTTAAATATAAGATTAGGGTTTGGTAAATTATTAAATGTTCCTTATAATAAGTTCCATTTTTCATCAAGTGTTTGTTTCCGACTATACATTATTGTTATGTTCTACTTCTTTTAACCATAATGTTCAAATCATCGTGTATTAAGATTCTAGATATTCAGATTAAATTATAAACAAATGTTTAACTACTTAAACTTAAAGAATTCCGACGTCCGATAAAGGGCGTTAAATAAAATATTAATAGAAGTATAAGATAACTATTTTCTCAAGCTGTTTCTCCCAAACAAATACCGGACGATATCAGAAATGCTGAAGAAGGTCGAACGTGCCAATTTGCTGAAACGTCGGTTGGCTCTTTACAACAGAAATCAGTTAACTATCCTGTGGGGAAACCCCTAGAGGTAAGTCTTAATATATATATATTTTAAAGTAGCTTTATCTATTAACTACTTAGTTTCAAACTATAGACAATAAGTGAAAAAGCTACTCCTAGAGATAGTCAGGAAATTCCAGAGCGGGACCTTAAAAAAATGTTTAAACGGCTTCCACTGGGTGAAGGGACAGAGGTGATTGACTATTAGAATAATTCTAAGTACCTATTTGCTAAAAATTGCCAATTAACAATTAAAAATGCATAGAGAAACACTCTTCCTTTTTTTTGCTTAAATAAACATTTATTTGCTAATATAGGACTTTCTTTAATATGATATTCGCTTACCCATACAAATGCTTGTACTCACCCTTTCTACATATCTATCAATTATTGTAATTACTTATTTACGCTTATTCTCTGTTGTCTTAAAAAAGCTCGTATTTCTCAATTTATCAAACCTTTTATAGATTTATTTAGATGGGCCTTATGGTGCACCTTCTAGCCATATTTTTAGAGCCCAACACGCAGTATTGATAGCTACAGGTATTGGTGTAACTCCATTCGCATCAATTTTGCAATCTATTATGCACAGATACTGGAAAGCAAGACACACATGTCCAAAATGCAAATTTTCATGGGCAAGTGATATTCCACCAACCGTTATGAACCTACGAAAGGTAAGAAAAACATACTTTGATTTTTGTTTCTTTAACGAAAAATATAGATCTTAAAAGAAATTAAGTTGATTTCTAATTACTGTAGAGGTCACAAAAAAAATTAAAATGAAAGGATTCCTGTGTTTTTAGCTCTTTTTTATTGAATTTCAACACTGCAACAGATTTTGGTAAACAAAAAATAATGAGATTGTTGTAGGAATTAAAATTTAAAAAGTAAGTACGGGGTCTGTTCAAAAAGTATCGCAAATTTTAAATTTCCGCAGGTTACGTATATTCGACTTTCGATTTTTTATGGCGTTATGTTGGTACTCACGTCTTTCACTTATACCAACAAGTTCGACCATGTGGAATGTTCAGTTAATTTTTGACAGCTGGTTTGCTTGCACGTGTTTCGGCTCGTCTTCGATTTTTGCCTATTCCAAAAAATGGATCAAAGAATCTGTATCAAATTTTGTGTGAAAAGTGAAGCTACCTTGGATCGAAGCAACGTTTATCGGTGGTATAAAATGTTCTCAGAGGGCCGAGAAGATGTGAACATACAAAGAGCATACCGGACGCCCTAGCACGTAAACAACAGACGAAAACTGATAAAGTAAAGAAAATGGTATTGGCCAATCGTGAAATCACCGTTGGTAACACATCGATTGGCTCCTGCCATTCGATTTTGATTAATTAATTTCGACCAAAAACGGCATCATATTAACACTGTTAAGGAGCTGTTGGACTCTGTCTGCGACGGCCCAAACTTCCTCCAGAGGGTCATAACTGATGACGAATCTTGGGTTTATGGTTATGACGTTGAATACAAAGCTCAATCATCCAAATTGAAGCAGCCAGGACTGAAAAAAGCGTTCCAAGTTAGGTCGAATGTGAAAGTTTAGCTTTCATTTTTGTATGATTGTAGGGGTGTGGTACATCATGAGTTCCTGCTACAGAGTAGAACGGTCAATAAGGAATATTACCTGCAAGTTATACGCAATTTGCGTGATGTGATTCGCCAGAAACATCCAGATTTGTGGAAGAACAAAAATTGGCTTTTGTACCATGATAACGCCCCTGTTCTCACATCGTTGCTTTTGAGCGAATTTTTGGCCAAAAGCAACACATCAATAATACCGCAGCCACTGTCGTCCTCAAATCTGGCCCCCCGTGACCTTTTTTGTTCCCGAAACTGAAGAGGTTCATAAAAGGATAACGCTACGCTACGATTGAGGAGATAAAGACGGCATCGAAGGAGGAGCTGAACAAGGTCACAAAAGATGATTTTTTGAAGTGCTTCGATTGAAAAAAAATTTTGCACAAGTGTATAATATTTGATGGGGATTACTTTGAAGGGGAAAAAATAGATATTCATGAATAAATAAATAATTTTTAAAAAAAAAAAAAAACAAAATTCGCGATACTTTTTGAACAGACCTCGTATGACCCTAATTAATCGAGGTTTACTTAGATAATAGGTTTGATGCTATTACAAAAACGTTTGCTAAATGAGAGAAAAATTGAGAAATGGAAAAGATTATTGGGCTTTCTGTTTTTTTTTTAAGCATAAGTTTATCTAAAATCATACAATAATAAGTGTATAAATAAACAGTGGAAGAACTTTGTAGGTTGATTTCTTTTGGATAAACAGGAATCAAAGATCGTTCGAATGGTTTGTAAATCTTTTGTCCCAATTAGAAATAGAACAAGCGGAATTGGGTAGCGCTATGGAAAGATTTTTGGAAATGCATATGTACATTACGAGTGCGCTCCAAAAAACCGATATGAAAGCAGTGGGATTGCAATTAGCACTAGACCTTTTACATGAAAAGGTAAAATGAAAATTTCATTTGAAAATCTTGTTGTGCGAAATGTAATTTGTTTATTCTTTTTTCTTAAGGAAAAGCGGGATCTTATAACAGGATTAAAGACGAGAACCAACGCTGGACGTCCGAATTGGGATAAAGTTCTGAAGCAGATAAGTGATCAAAAAAAAGGAAAGGTTACCGTTTTTTATTGTGGTCCTCCACAACTTGGTAGAATACTTAGAGTTAAATGTGATCAATTTGGATTTAGTTTTAGAAAAGAAACTTTTTAGAAATTTTTATTTAACTTAACACGTGCCACATTTTTTAATGTACTATCTATTTATTGTTTTTATTGAAGAAATGCCATTTTTTATCTGTTCTCTTTAATTATTATGTACATTTTTTCGCTATTATAAATACGCAATAGTATTGTATTACTTGTATGTAAATTTGTTAATGTTTTATATTGTGTACGTAAAAGATTTTTTATAATTGCCAGATAAACTAAACAAATACGTCTATTTGGTTTCTTATTTTCGTTTNTATTGGCCAATCGTGAAATCACCGTTGGTAACACATCGATTGGCTCCTGCCATTCGATTTTGATTAATTAATTTCGACCAAAAACGGCATCATATTAACACTGTTAAGGAGCTGTTGGACTCTGTCTGCGACGGCCCAAACTTCCTCCAGAGGGTCATAACTGATGACGAATCTTGGGTTTATGGTTATGACGTTGAATACAAAGCTCAATCATCCAAATTGAAGCAGCCAGGACTGAAAAAAGCGTTCCAAGTTAGGTCGAATGTGAAAGTTTAGCTTTCATTTTTGTATGATTGTAGGGGTGTGGTACATCATGAGTTCCTGCTACAGAGTAGAACGGTCAATAAGGAATATTACCTGCAAGTTATACGCAATTTGCGTGATGTGATTCGCCAGAAACATCCAGATTTGTGGAAGAACAAAAATTGGCTTTTGTACCATGATAACGCCCCTGTTCTCACATCGTTGCTTTTGAGCGAATTTTTGGCCAAAAGCAACACATCAATAATACCGCAGCCACTGTCGTCCTCAAATCTGGCCCCCCGTGACCTTTTTTGTTCCCGAAACTGAAGAGGTTCATAAAAGGATAACGCTACGCTACGATTGAGGAGATAAAGACGGCATCGAAGGAGGAGCTGAACAAGGTCACAAAAGATGATTTTTTGAAGTGCTTCGATTGAAAAAAAATTTTGCACAAGTGTATAATATTTGATGGGGATTACTTTGAAGGGGAAAAAATAGATATTCATGAATAAATAAATAATTTTTAAAAAAAAAAAAAAACAAAATTCGCGATACTTTTTGAACAGACCTCGTATGACCCTAATTAATCGAGGTTTACTTAGATAATAGGTTTGATGCTATTACAAAAACGTTTGCTAAATGAGAGAAAAATTGAGAAATGGAAAAGATTATTGGGCTTTCTGTTTTTTTTTTAAGCATAAGTTTATCTAAAATCATACAATAATAAGTGTATAAATAAACAGTGGAAGAACTTTGTAGGTTGATTTCTTTTGGATAAACAGGAATCAAAGATCGTTCGAATGGTTTGTAAATCTTTTGTCCCAATTAGAAATAGAACAAGCGGAATTGGGTAGCGCTATGGAAAGATTTTTGGAAATGCATATGTACATTACGAGTGCGCTCCAAAAAACCGATATGAAAGCAGTGGGATTGCAATTAGCACTAGACCTTTTACATGAAAAGGTAAAATGAAAATTTCATTTGAAAATCTTGTTGTGCGAAATGTAATTTGTTTATTCTTTTTTCTTAAGGAAAAGCGGGATCTTATAACAGGATTAAAGACGAGAACCAACGCTGGACGTCCGAATTGGGATAAAGTTCTGAAGCAGATAAGTGATCAAAAAAAAGGAAAGGTTACCGTTTTTTATTGTGGTCCTCCACAACTTGGTAGAATACTTAGAGTTAAATGTGATCAATTTGGATTTAGTTTTAGAAAAGAAACTTTTTAGAAATTTTTATTTAACTTAACACGTGCCACATTTTTTAATGTACTATCTATTTATTGTTTTTATTGAAGAAATGCCATTTTTTATCTGTTCTCTTTAATTATTATGTACATTTTTTCGCTATTATAAATACGCAATAGTATTGTATTACTTGTATGTAAATTTGTTAATGTTTTATATTGTGTACGTAAAAGATTTTTTATAATTGCCAGATAAACTAAACAAATACGTCTATTTGGTTTCTTATTTTCGTTTTTTATTTCATATTTAAATGTTTTAATTAATTATTTTGTGCTTAAAAATAAAAACTATTTTATCGCAATTATTTTTAAACTTCGGTGAAATGAGGATTGCATTACTGAGCAAAATAGGGTAAAAAATTATTCGTCAAAAAGTATTGATTATATAATTTTGTTGAAGTAAAACAAATACATTTTTGGTGATAAGAATTTAATTTCTTCGGACTATATTTCATTTTTAATGTATACAGAATTGCTCTGTGTTTTTAGGAAGATTTCAATTGAATGAGTAAATATATGAAAAAACTTTTTATACCGACTGGGAATAGAACCGATACCACTGTTGGTTCACCATTTTTCCAGACGAGCGGCAGTGAACCAGCCATTATCGGAATATCTATGTCAAAATGCCTGTATGAAGTCGCGACAGTAATGGTTCCTACTGTAGAATATTTAGCGGGATTTTAGAAAATATCTTCTCTAGTTGTAAATAAAGTAGCAGTACGATAATATTGTACACCTTCCAAGAACCTTCAATGGTTGATTCAACCAGATGTTTACTTATATTTTATTAATTTCTTTTTTGGCGGATCATAAGGTTATGGTAGAAGAAGACAACATTTACGAAGTGGTCATGTTCTGTCTTCTGTACATAATTTATAAAATTAGAAGAGTAGTTCATGGACAGAATTTAGGTTGTCTTGATTTTGTCTATTTTTATAATTAAAATTTAATCAAATCAATTGATTGCTGTTCCATTCCGCTAGATACATTACCGTAGAAGCAGTTACTGCCGCGGTCGGCTTCATACGGTTGAAGTGGGACCTCGGACTATGCAGGAGACACTTCCTTTATTTATTTATCTTCCAGCATTAGATTAAAGCATGGTGCAGTAGGAGAGGTTATGTAAAAACACCAGTTTACTTTGAGTATCTGTTAAATAGCGTTGTTTCGTGTAAAAGTTGTTTAATGTGGATGGCAATTAGAGCAAAGTCATCAGCACTTTTAGAAATATCTTGTTCACATGCTTCAGACGTGTGGAAAGGGTATCTATGCTAGCACATTAAAAATCATAAGTAATTTTAGTTGTCTGTACCTGTAGTTTTGTGGCTATGGCTACGGAAAATAAGACATCACGTGTTACGAAAAGAATTGGAACCCACAACGGTGTCTTTCATTGTGATGAAGCATTGGCATGCTTTATGTTAAAGCAGCTTCCTCAGTATCGAGATGCTGAAATCGTTAGAACGAGAGATACAGCTGTAAATTTACCTACTAAAATTTTTCGTGGTATTACTAGTCTTTTACGAACTGTTTTTTACAGATCTTAGAAACATGCGATGTTGTGGTTGATGTTGGTGGTGAATATAATCCAAAGATTCACAGGTATGATCACCATCAAAGAGGCTTCGAAGAGACTCTCTCAAGTGTACGGCCAGACCTAGCCAAAAATAAACATATAAAGTAAGATCTCTTACTTAATTTGCCTTGAGATTTTTAAAGATTATTCTTTCAGATTAAGCTCTGCAGGTTTAGTATATGCCCACTTTGGAATAGAGGTGTTATCAGTGATTCTTTCTAATAATAAAATTGTGCCCAGTTCGGAATGTCTAAGAACTTTGTTTGTAGCTGTGTATGAAGGGTTTGTTGAAGAACTTGATGCAATTGATAATGGGATACCCATGTATAGTGAAGGTCATCCCAGATATAGGATAAATACTCATCTTAGTGCTAGAATACATAGACTTAATCCAGAATGGAATACCTTGGAGTCTGAACCTCAGGATAAACTGTTTGAGAAAGCAATGTCTTTAGCAGGTTCCGAATTCACTGATAAAGTACTAGAGGTTGGTCATGTAAATTTGAGTCTGTTTCAAGAAGTGCAATATATGATTTATGTTTTTAATAATAGATGGGGAGAATTTGGTGGCCTGCAAGGGAAATTGTGAAGAATTCTATTGTAGATAGGCATAATGTACATAAAACTGGAGAAATAATAGAGTTAAAAGAAAGATGTCCTTGGAAAGACCATCTACTGAGTCTTGAAGAAGAAATGGGGATTTCTGGACAAATAAAATTCTGTATTTTTCATGATAAAGGCGATTCATGGAGAGTACAGGGAATACCTGTGCAGCCTGATAGTTTTATTTGCAGGTATGTTTCATTCCTCCAAAAGTGTCATTTTCATTATTAACTAATTTTATTTGTAGGGTATTCCTCCACAAAGACTGGAGAGGTGTAAGAGATGAGGAATTAAGTAAAGTTTCTGGGATTCCTGGGTCTATATTTTGTCATAGTACTGGGTTTATTGGGGGAAATAAAACCAGGACGGGGGCACTGGAAATGGCAATAAAAAGCCTGCAAGAAGCTTCAACAAATGGTGATTAGCCAAAAGGATTTTAAGTTTTTAACAAATGGGATTTTTTTATACAACTTGTTTAAATGCTCTAAAGTAATAATCTCCAGTGTTTTTTAATTTATTATAATTGAATGAGTTATAACAGATTTATTTGGTAATAATAAACCATGAGCAATTTTTAAGAAAATAAATTCTTAATGAATCTTTTCTTATATACCTTTCCCTAAAAGTTGTTAATTTGAGGAAACAGTTTTTAAATATTCATGAAATGTCATAGATACAGGGTGGCCGAAAAAGAATGCAAAATGCTCCTTGTGGTCAAACTATAGGTTTAAACGAGAAAATTTTCATTTTGGGCCATTGTGTATAGCATTTAATAACTAAGAAAGATGGAATAGTATTAAAGAACACTGAAATGTTTTTTTTGCCACATTATTTTTCATTTACAAACAACAGAGTTTAATCCACACCAAAATACTCATTTTCTTTTTTTTCGTTTCATCAGTTAAGTTGCATCATCAGTTTGATATGCTTGTTACTCTGCACTGTGCTTTGTTTGAAAAACTTAACGCATTTCTTTTTAATTGGATATTAAATTTTTGAAGGATATTGAATATACGTTTAATAAAATAAAATAATTGTTTTCTATCCATTCAGTTAAAAGGCCGATGTCAGTCTGAATATTAATTCTATTTCTAACAGAATGAAAGAGAAATATTGCAATCAGAGCCGTCTTAGACCATGCCGATGCCCTTGGGCACGCAAGAATTTGGGGCCCTTTTGGATAGTAATGTAAACTGAATGATACAAACATTTGTCCATTATGATCTTTTAGTTAAATCAAATATACATTATCGGTGTTCGCCGAATTAATTGCGAATATTTTAGGGGGTGTTATCACCAAGCAAGACCTCACTGAAACAATTCTTCTAAGTACATTTTTCTAATAATTGACTTTTACTACGTTATACTGAGACAACTGTAACACTGTAAACTCGTCCAGTAGATTTGATTCTTACGACACAATTCATCATAAATTGCCTGTGCTATAAACTGTTCTCATGCTCCATTAATAAGTTACTAATATGCTTCCAGTCTTTATATCCCTTTGGAGAACTCAAATTATGTCCAGTACCAGCACTCGTAGTTAATAGACGACAGAAATAACAGTACAGAGATTTCTTCGACAGTGAATAAAGGAGCCTTTTTCTTTCTATAGACTCCTCATTCGTTAATTTACGGGTGAAAATATTTTTAGTCAAGTTTCTAATTTTTGTTTTACCACTTAAATCTGGAAAACTTGTAGAGGACTCGGAGAAGTTACACTTTTTATTTTGAAAAAACTCTGGCCCTTTTCGAATCCAAATATTGCGTACTTTTTCTGTTAAAATTTCATCACAGTACGTACCAGGATCAGGATAGATGATGTTGTATTGTAATTAAGTAGAGTGCATTCTGCATTCGGAAAATAAAGAGTAACGTTAGCAAATAATATCGGCCTTCCGGGGGCCTCGTGAGGACGAGGGCCCTGGACACGTGCTCCTTGTGCCCTTATGGTAAAGACGGTATTGATTGCAACGTCGAATGTGCCATTGATACGAACAGTCCAGGCAGATCATGTTAAGCCCGGGTGGGTAGTTGACCGTATGTAACCTTGAGAAGTGGGGATAAAAAAATTATAAAAAACAAAATGTTATTGTTAAAATTATTATATTGTCAGTTATCGTGTTTATGGTCAATTGAACAAAACTCGCTCAATTGCGCAATACAAAAGTTGGGCCACGCTTTGTATTTCGGAAGATGAACGTACTAACTAATTGCTCTTAGATATAATTTATCATGATTACAAGTTTTGCATTTACCGATAGTACCCCAATTTGCATATAATTTTCATGTTGACCTAGCGTTTAATGTTTAACAATCCTTAATCCTTAATGGCTAGTATTCCCAGCTAAATGTTTCTAATTGTTTGTGCTGCTCAAAAACAGATACTAACTAAAAACTGGTACAAATATTTGCAAGCCGCTTTGATAAAAGTAAAAGTACATAAATATAGGATAAATGATACGCAAAAACTGACTTACTACCCTGTATGTAATTTCTGGGTCTTCTTCATTAACCTCAAGAGTTATCATAGATAACATGATGATTCTTATAATAAATCACGCGGTCTTTTTCAAGAAAAGCCGGTGTGGCGCTAGGATCATACGAATAATCACGCGATTTCCTCTAGTGGAACAAAATGCATTAGTTGCAAACATAGTTAATAATTACATGTACCTAATGGTGCAATTGCAAAATACATTTGTTTTTACTTCACATTCATCGAGTACTGGTAGGTAATTCAAAACCAGCGTCATATTTGTTTTTGTGTTTAATTTATTTAAAAAGGTAAATTTCGTGCAGGTAATTGATGGTAGAAGTATTGTTGCAGTTTATAAAAATTTCTAATATGGCGGATGAAAAGAGCCAGGTTAAGTTAGTAAGCCCGTTGACACATGGCTGAAGCTATTGCAGGGTATTCCTTATATGTAAAAGCCAAGTCTTGTATGTTTTAGTATGTGTCTGATATAGCATTTAGGTATTTATTTGCAATTCATACTATTTATGATATGCATCAATTGAATTGTAGCACATTTGACAAGAGAACTTGGGTGAAAACCAAGGTGAAACCGCTTAACGCTAGGATGCGATGAATGATACTTCCGGATTACTATTGTACTTACAGAAGATCCATCGTTTCTGATATATCAACTTAGTATTTTGAACTATTTAGGGATGAGAGTGGTGGAGTAGAGTAATGACCATTTTTTATTAAGATTGATTAAGGTTATTTTAAATTGAATAACTGAAAGAATTAAATGAAAATGCAAAGAGTTTATTGAATTAGAAATCGGCAAAACTTAAAAACTACATTAATGAAAAAATCAGGAGCCATTCCATAAAAAAATTGGTTGAAACAAAAAATAAACTAGAATGTCAGAATAAGGAGATAGATGCAAATGTGAAAGAACTGAAAGTAAAGTTCTTTGGTACATTTATACCACATTATTGATAACCAGCCTTCGGAAAAGCAGGACAACATGATTGTTTCAATCATTTTGACGTGCAGTAGAAGCATACCGTTTCGTAGAAAGTATCCTCATAGTCAGCGAACATTGACGGGAAGAGTATTCGATGTGGCTACAGAGTTAAATACATTGATATTGAAAGAGATAAGTTCTACACCCATCTGCACCTTACGTGATAGTGCTGGAGAAATATTAAGCACAGTTCCACCTGAAGAATTACGAGTCCATCAACAGCTAGTAAACGGTTAGCGATACAGCCGGGTGTATTTGACAACAGTAGGGTGTAGGGTAGGTACGTGATTAATATACTGTTGGTCTACAAATCTGTATTAATTTTCTCACTTCGGATAAGCCAATTTGGTTACCAGTATTAGTCATCTTTTCTAAAGCAATTATAATTAATTATCTCTTACCACCGACAAATTTTTGTAATGTGTTCTTCGAATCTGCAGGTACCTCTTAGGGAGGTGTAAATAGTAGGGTATATACATATATTTTGATTGTATATTGATATAACTATAGATAAAGATCCATTTAATAACAACAATAGTTTATTAGCAATATTTACTTCAGTGCACAAATGAATTCTTTAAGGAGCGATTAAGAAATAACAACATCACTGTTTGCTGCGATCCAGTCTAAATATGCTGTTACCCTTGAATAGGCGCTTGGGTTCCCAGCTTCACAGCCACTACCACTTGCAAACGAAGTTACACCAACCTGTAACAGACATAACAAAAGCAATATTGTTGCACTTATGTCAATGACCTTCAAGTTGATTTTATTAAATTTTGGGGCCATTTTTTGGTACTTCCATTCACTCGTTTTAATTAATTAAAAAAGAGTATAGTAAATTATTTGCAAAGATAAAAAATAAAGATCGGAATCTTTAGCACACATTTACAAACAAACGAAAACATACACTATATGGGGTCTTATAAAGGAGCAAAGCTAAATGAGTAATGGAGGAGAAGAAGTGAAGTCCGCGAGGGAAATTAAGTGAGGTCCACGAAGCTGGGAGGAAGAGGTGATCCAATGGGTCCATACAGTTAGGGAATCGTCGGGTACATCATAGACTGACTTTGAGTTGACGATTACAACCTTGCACCGAGGTCTCCTCCTAGAGAGTGGGCGGCCGGATCTGTATACAGCATATAGTTTCTTCCCGGAAGTCAAGGAAGGGTAAAGGTACGACCGTTTAACTTAATCTCCCTCAGTGACTCGCGGCTCCTAGCTAATAATTTGTGTTTCATATTTGTTGTTGTTTAATTATTTCAGCATAAGTTGATTTCGCAATGGTTGTGCTGAAGATACAATAATAAAGAGAAAACAGGTGTTTTCGTTATAAACCTCTCCTACGCCAAGCGACCCCCTCCATACACTACGAAACTGATTTTTTCGTTTTGTGGTTTGTTACGTGAATTAGGGGAAAGTATAAATGAGTAAATTCTTGAACATTTATGAACATTCTTTTGAATAAAGTGCTGGTTAGGATCAGATTTTTCTAACTAGAAGGATAGTGATGTGATTTGATCACGGCAATTACCCTTATTATTTATCACCTATTTCTCACTGGTTAGTATTGAAAGTTTCAGTGAAAACACGATATATATTTACCAATTTTCCACTGGCGACAAGGGGTCCGCCTGAATCTCCAGGGCAAACTCCTTTGCGGCCCGCTCCTCCAGTACAAATGATTGAGTTTGTAACGTACGAACCGAGCGAATCTCTACACACATTGTTTGCAATAATCGGAACATTTACATATCGCAATACGTCACTGATAACGGTAACAGATTGAGAATTGTATCCCCAACCACTTGCTACTGCTTGAGATCCTACGAAACTGTTCGAAACGTCAGCTCTACTGGGAAGTGCTATCAGTTGAACGTTACCTGTTAAAATCTAAACTTAGTGTGGATAAAAAAGCAAAGGGAAATCATACGATTTGGGGGAACATTTATAGGGACTCAAAAGTGGGAAAATTAGATTATTGTAGAGACCAGTTTACGTTGACTTTTTAAACTTCTTCAAGATATCCCGTATTAAATAGACATTGAAAATCTAGAGGAAGTCTAAATAAGGTTCATAAGACGTTAGAAATGAAGAGGTATTAGAAAGAATAGGAGAGCACAGAGGACTCTATGGAAGTTAGTAAAAAACAGGCGAGGACATCTTCTTAGACATGAAGGTCTAGTCAGAGACATATTAGAGGCAGAAACAGGAGTTAGGAGAGATAGACCTAGGTTAGATTACTGTTCGCAAATAGTTAAGGATGTGGGTTGTTCTTGTTTTAGGGAAATGCGAAGATTAACTCAGGATAGGAAAGAGTGGAGGTACGTCTCCAACCAGTCTTAGGACTAACGACCTTATGATGATGATGATGATGATGAAGACGTTGCCTATTGAATAATTTAATTTTTATTTAAACTAAAATATGTTTGGTAATTAATTATTGGACTTAATTTAAATGATAGTGTAAATTATTAGTTATGTAGTTACTATTGAGATTGGCTGGTGTTGGAAGATAGACGGTGGCTAAATCATTCGCTATTTCTTGCCGATTATACTTTTCATGTATCTTGAACGTGGTGGTTGGAATGCGTTGTTGAGTAGATTCAGTTGCGCTAATGTTATGCGCCCCCAGTAACACTTCCAATGAAACAAGGTCACTAACAATAAGAAAAATAAAAAATCAAATGCAACAAAGTATATCGAGCAATGAAGATAACAATTAAGAGCAAAAGTCTTACTCATCCGCCAAACAATGTGCAGCAGTCAACACGTATCTTCTGGATATAAGAGAAGCTCCACAGAAACTCGTTGCTCCATTGTAAAGAAGTCTCACACCGACCTTAATAAATAAGAATATCATATCAGAGACTAGCAGTTTACCTCGAATTTGTCTGCGTTGAAAGTTCACATCTCCAAAATTTTAACCCAATCCCCTTAAATTTTGTCACCTAAACAGACATTATACTTTATTTACTTTCTGTAGCGATGTGCCGCTTCCAATGTCTTGGATGCGCGCTGGCAAAATCGTAGGTAGGGAGAAAAAGCCTATTATACTCTCGAATCTTGTTCATTAAATATTCTTTCTCATACAGTACCTGCCAAAAATTTTGTTCAATCATGAATAGTAGTGCGAGTCGAAAACAAGCGTTAAAACCTTTAATATGTCTTCAAATATAAATAAACATCTCTTTGATATTTTCAGTAGTAAATGGTACCAATAACAGCACATTTGAGCAATGAAATTGTAGTGGATAAAATGGTCAATTTTTCCGTGCAGTACTGTACGTATTGTACGCTCCTCATCGGTTAAGAGTTTAGCCGAGAGTTGTCTCCTTCCTTTTCTGGCATAGTGCTGTTCTTTTCTACTTTGCGCCGGTCAAACTGAAGGTCACATCGCTAAGAAAGTAAACGAAGTATACCTACTTATTTTCTGAGTAACAAAATTGGTGGGGATAAACAAACCTCAATATCCGCGTATGCAGGTGTCAGTATCATGAGATATCAGGTGGTAAAGGTACGTAAAATTAATAATGAACACTGCCAGACACTTCCCATCGGCGGTAATTTTTGCCAGATGGTTCAATGTTCGCAAAAAAAAAAAAAATTATTCTGACTTATAGTCTGAGTGTTCACTTTTAAATATGATAAACAACATTTTGCAAGCAGCCAGATCAATTGTAGGGTCGAAACATCCCCCCGATACAATTAATACGTCGCTATGCTATAAAGCTATCTAATTATCGCGCTTGCGCTTATAGTCATTTTTAAGTTATTTTTTTTTTGTAAACTTTAAAGCGTCTGGCAGAAATTACTGCCGATTGAAAGTACCTTGCAGTGTTGATTATTAATTTTTAACGATATTCTCTGACACATTATGTCAAAATCAACACTCAAACTTTAAGAAAAGCAAGTAACGTAGGTATTTACGTACCACCACCCATTTTGTTATTCAGAAAATAAGTATTGTCTGACGGCTCTGAGATATTGTTCTATTCTAAATCTCCTTAGAATTTCACATCCCTTAATTTTGCACCCTAATTTCCAACAGTCCGAGTGTTTGTTACCTTAAATTTTGTCCTCTCTCAAAATTTCACTAGTTTGCCACCAATGGAACAACGAAAAAAACTTTGAAGTCGGTTTAATAGTTTCGACTAGTTCTCCGTGAAAAAAAACTTATATATTTCCTTGTAATAATTTAACACCCACAATACCCCAGAATTTTGATTAAACATCAAACAATCCAGCTATTTTCAAAAATGCTTACTTGGTATCGTAATGAGTTTCGTGGAGCTTCATTCCCTCCCACAATCCTTGTACTTTCAGAGAATGCAAGTTGACGGTGCCCTGTGGGATGTATTTTACGAGCAGGTATACTTTTAGACCAATCCCTAGTTACGTGAGCCTGTAAAAATTAATTCGTACTTGATCCAGACTTTTTTTATTGATATCATTACTTTACCGTAACTAAGGAAAATGTAACGAAAATTAGGACAATTTCCTTCATTTCTGCTTATGACACAGGTACTGCATAAATTTTGGTATAGAAATTCGTTTTTATTAAGTTATCTCTGAAGTATTTGTGTTGATAAAGTTATTGTTACCTTTTTTTATTCAAGCTGCTGCGATATGATAAACGATACATTTTTAAAACATTTAGATAAAGGGGAGAATGGGATAATTGGAGCCGTTTAAGAAAAACATGTAATATATTGTTTTCTTTTCCTTTTATAGGAACATACAACTGCTGTTAAAATAAAATACGGGGTGTTCTATTTAAACTAAACAAGTTATTGTAGTTTAAAACTTGTATTTATTTAATCATAACGAATGCTTCGTGGATACATGTTTTCCCAAATTTACGACCTACCCTGAAAATAACCATTTCGAAAGATAATTGCAATATAAGGCCTATTGAATAAAATATCGCATTGATGTTCTGTAGCAGTTCTGAGAAATCCAGTGTCGGTATAATGCGAAAGTAACAAATGCTGAAGTTCGAACCCTAGGAAAGGACTTTTGGTCTAATTACCCTGGCCTTTACGTGATCGAATCATTTAAAAGGATAGAAGCGATTACTGACGATTTAAATGCTTCTCGTAATAATAAATTGAAATTTCTTGAAGGAAGTATGTAAGAAAAGGGCGTTTCTTTTATTTCATTTAAATGTTAGAAATGAAGAGGTATTAGAAAGAATAGAAGAACAGAGGACTCTATGGAAGTCAATAAGAAATAGGAGAGATACGTAGGTTGGTAGCACACCTTCTCAGGCATGAAGGTCTAGTCAGACATATTAGAGGCAGAAACGGGAGTTAGGAGACTTAGATTAGTTTACTGTTCGCAAATAGTTAAGAATGTGGATTGTTCTAATTTTAGGGAAAAGCGAAGATTAGCTCACGATAGGAAAGAGTGGAGGTGAGTGTCCAACCAGTCTTAGGACTGACGACCTTATGATGAAGTTTTTTGTTACGCACCTAACTATAAGTTTAAAAAAAATAAAATTACTTCAGTCTGAAAATGGTTGAATAAACCGAAACGTAACAAAAAGCATAAAGATGTTTAATTATTTGACCGCCACCCTGGAAAAAACAATATAATTTAAAATTAACGGCCAGTAATCTAACTAATTTGTTTTATTTGTTTTTCATGAGGACAGCTAAAGCATTATACATGACAACGTACTGTACTAATAAGTAAATAAACAGAATTGAAAGCATACATAGAGGTGTATGTGTTTTAAATGCATTGCAAAAATTATTTCTACCAGTACCTACTAATTTTAAGTTTATTAGATTAATAATTTATTATTTTTAAAGTGAAACTTATATTAAAATCGTTTTTTTTTTTCGTCTATCTATCGCATGTCGCATTACAGCCGGCCGCGTAGTAGGGGTAAAACTGAAAGGCGTTCGGCAGAACCGCCAAGGCCAATATGGAGGCGGCCACGGTTCGCATGAGCTAACCGTGTAGCATTTACATTCTCACTCATTCGTGCAAGTGCATGACAGTTTCATTTATACTGTGAAATTCAAAGCGAAGATGAAATTATTGATAGAGTAACTGAAATTAAAAATGATTCAATGATTTAAATAAATACTGTTCTCATTACATGCGTCTTACAATGATTGTATTTATTATGTATTCCGTACTCTCATACGCAGATTGAAATTAAAATTTATAGTTGGATATCTTGTCTACTATTGATCTCCCATTACCATTCTCATTTTTCAATCGTTAATATAAGACGAAATTTTAATTTTAATACCCTAAATCGAATAATTTACAGTTCAATTCCTACAATCCGAAAAGTTTCAATTGCATAGTGGTTTCATAAAACCACACAATTTTCTTTAATATTGAGTAACTGTGAATTGTGACATTCAGCGTTTGTGTCGATATTTTGTGGGAAATATTCTCTTAATATTAATGTGTTTTTGAGTTATAGATTGTTTTTTTTTATGCTACACGTGTCGGTTGTTGGTGGGTCCTTCAATTTTTTTTTGTGGTGTTTTAAAATTTCCATCCTGATAAATGTTTACAGCGTGTCACCAGATAAAACTTTATATTGACCTTGTCACTCTTATCTAAATATGTTCATGGGTTTGAGAAAGAAATTTTTAGGAAATGATTAAAAATTATTAAACAAACAAAAGATTGTCTTTATGGAAATATAGCCTGCCTTTTTAGGGTACATACATACAGGATAGAAAGCAATGTATTAAAAATGAAAGAGAGTCCTCATTCATATGTTATGAATAATGGAATCGTTCTAACAAAAGAAATATTTGTATTGCTGATTTAGGTGCAGACGCCTTAATTGTTATGTACATGTTGTGGCGAAAGAACTCTTTTTTTTTGTATGTAAATATTTTTTCTAATTTTATTTCAATTCAAATATTATTTCATTTCAAACATTATTTCAATCCTTTTCAATTTCTTATCTTGTAAATACTTTGTATCTGGTTTTACCCTTAATTGCTTTCTTTTCAATTCTATACTGTCTAATTCTACGTATTCCTATAAACTAGTGTCTTCACCTTCTCTCTCACTACTATTCCTTCTAGAACATTTCATCAAAATTACTAACAACCCTGTCCTATAAATAGTCCAAAAATTTTATATCTCAAGGTCCGAGTCATCTTCCTCCTCGGACAACGAATCGGACTTAGAACCAAATCTAAGTCAAAAATCTCCACCGCCAATCGTGATACGACAAAAGTCCCTTTGGCCGAAAATTCTTCGTGCCATGGACAATCACGGCATCACCGCCCGTAGGTCCATCAATACCCAAGACTCAATTCGAGTCTATCCCAGCTCCATCGACGATTTTCGTCGTCTATCCTCTTTCCTGGATGAATCCAAAGTCCAATTCTCAACCAACCAACTACAGCAGGACCGTGACCTTCACGTAGTTATCCGTGGTGTCTGCGAAGACATCTCAACAGAGGACATCGAGTCCGAACTAAGCCACAAAGGCTTTATTATCAAAGGCATACATCGTATGTCTAAAGGTAATAAAATCTGGCCCCTTGTCTCCGTCCGTCTTGATAAGACCGCCTCAAATTCCAAGGCAATTTTCGACCTTGGTAAACTCTGTGGCCTCAACATCAAAGTTGAGCCGAAAAAAGCAACAAAGGATATTCCCCAATACCGCCGCTGTATGAAATTTTTCCATACAGCCAACTACTGCCACGCAGCCTGGGTCTCTTTAGAAACAGTAGGCATCGAAGTTTCACTAACTTCCGGCCCTCTTAGAATTATTTCTCTCTACTCCCCCCCTTCGGACAGAGACCTTTCTGAACTTCCCCTTCTACTCCCCCCAGGCGCTCCGACCATCGTTGCAGGCGACTTCAACGCTAAACACATCTCTTGGGGCTGTCGACAAACAAATAATAAAGGCAACTCCCTTCTAGCCAAAGTTCTTCAGTTCAACCTCACAGTTGAAGCACCATCTGACCCCACATTCCTCCCTACCCCCCACCATCAATCCCCTGACATTCTTGACATTTTCGTCACGAAAAATGTCACACTTTCCGCCGATCCTATCGTCTTAGACGAATTAAGCTCGGACCATCTCCCAGCCCTTATTGAAGCCGGCCGCCCAATCCTCAACCCCCCAAATCCAACCACGTCACTAGATTGGTTGCACCTTCGTTACACCCTGGAAAAATCTTCATTCAAGTGCACTCCAATTCGCACAATAGCGGAACTTGACGAAGCTGTGAATCTCCTGTCAAACGAGATTACCAGCGCAGTCGAGCTCTCCACTACCTCTCGCCCAACGCTCACCAAAGACAGAACCCTCCCAGCAGACTTCCTTGACCTCCTTAAGAGGAAAAACAAGGCCCGACGTCTGTGGAATAAACACCGCGTCCCCGCCCAACGTGCAGAGGTAAACGCCCTTCAACGAGAACTAAAAACTCGTCTCACCGAATTCCGCAGCGCATCCTTCGACGACTACATCGCTCAGGCAGAAAAACACCCACGAAGCACCTGGAAAGTGATCCGTTCCCTTCGCAACAGAGCTCCCCATCTTCCGCCTCTTAAACAGAACGGCTGCACCTATTCCTCAGACGAAGAAAAAGCTGCAATCTTCGCAGACTCTTTGTGTCTCCAGTGCTCCCCACTACCTAGCCCAGTGGATCTTGCCGACTTTCATGAGCGTACCAAAGCCGTCTCCCAGAACTTCGTTCCCCTGAACTCCAACTTCAAACACACGTCCCCACGAGAAATCTTTCTCATTATCCGTTCTCTAAAAAAGAGAAAAGCCCCTGGCGCTGACGGAATCGCTAACGGAGTCCTTAAAGTCCTGCCACCAAAGCACATAACCGCACTGTGCAACATCACAAACGCCATCATGCGGCTCCACCACTTTCCTTTGGTCTGGAAAGAAGCCACTGTCATCTGTCTCCCCAAAAAAGGGAAGCCGCTCAGCTCTCCCTCAAGCTACAGGCCCATCAGCCTGCTCAGTTCGCTGAGCAAAGTAGTAGAATCCGTCCTTCTCGCTCGGCTCTTAGACCACGTGGAGCAAAACAACCTTCTCCCTGATTTTCAACACGGTTTCCGCAGGCAACACGGCACCGGACACCAACTTCTTCGTGTAACTGAACACATCTCCGACAACCTCAACAAGCGGCGTCACACTTCCATGCTCCTTCTTGACGTCCAACAAGCCTTCGACCGAGTCTGGCACGAAGGTCTCATTTCCAAACTTATCGCCCTTAACATCCCACACTTTCTAGTTGGGGTTATCAGGTCCTTCCTCACAGACAGAAGCCTTCGGGTCCGCGTTGGCTCTGCTCTTTCTGCCAGTAAACCCGTCACAGCCGGTGTCCCACAAGGCTCCAAACTATCCCCTATTCTGTTTAACCTGTTTTGCGCGGACATCCCCTCCCACACTTCAATTCTGACTGCCCTGTACGCCGATGACATTGCTATCATAAACTCTTCAAGTACCATTCTCCAATGCACGGCAAGAATCAATAGGTTTCTCCCCCAGCTCCTAAACTGGTATCGGAAATGGAAACTTTCCATTAACGAGACCAAATCGGAAGCAATTTTCTTTTCCCGTAG